TGAGCAAAAAGCAGCAAAGAGATAACTAAACACCAAAAGACAATAAAAGGTAACTAGATGTAGCAAAAGTCTAGCTAAATTCTAAAAGTAGCAAAATAGCTACAAGTTGCAAAAGTTAGAAAAAAAATCTTTGTGCAGAAGAAATTATCTTAAACCTAAAAATTCAAAAAGCTACATAATGTGTTTTTTTTTTAAAAAAGCAAAATATGAGCAAAAAGCAGCAAAGAGATAACTAAACACCAAAAGACAATAAAAGGTAACTAGATGTAGCAAAAGTCTAGCTAAATTCTAAAAGTAGCAAAACACTATAAGCAAAATAAATAAACTGCCAGTCATAAAATATGTAGCTAGAAGAAGAAAAATGTTTTTCAAAAGCTTTGTACAGAAGAAATAAGCTAAAACTGAAATTAACATCTCTCTGTAACAGGAAAGTGAGCATTAATTCCTCTGTGCAAGATAAGTTGCCACAGTCAATAGGACGAGGCCCTGACCTTTTAACCTGTGGTTGATAGTTGGGACTGTTTAACTTGGGTCATGAGAACAGACTTAACAGAATTAATTTTTAATCACAGAGACAGTGAYTTTCCAGTGTTTCACACGATTGTGTATTTGGGATTATTTGACTTGTGGGTGGGTTTATGAAACAGTTAAATGACTGTGTGAARCTTGAATTGTTCAGAGCGTTTGGGATCAGATGCACTGTCCTCCTTTCTGCAGCAAGAAATAACATCTCAGGACTCATGAGAACTATCTTCTGTTAAAAKGTTTTTCATTTCAGCTACCTAATGCTTAAAAAACCCCATAATGCAGTTATATAAATACTAAAATATAAATATAAAGCAGCTCAGACATTCTAAACTGTTTAATTTTCTTGTTGAGTAATTGACCCAAGTTCAAACAAGGTAATGCAACATGACACAGTTTCCATGTTAAACAATTTTTATTTTATGACTTTTATTTGACAACWTTCACTCCAGTTAATGAGTCAAGATAAACATACTGGTGTTGTTTTGTCCTCAAAGACTTTTAGTTCCAATCTGAACTGAGAAAGTACACTCTACAAAACAATGATTTGAATTAACAATTATCTTTCTGTTCCCATAGATGAGTGAAGGACAAGAAGATTTGATATGTTGTGTTTGCTCTGTACTGAAAAGGACATCAGTCCCAACATGACCTCAATTGAAATACCTATACGGTTTGTTTATTGAAATCAGTCACGTTTGCTCCAACGTCTAATCTAATGAGCAACAATTACAACAAAAACAAATTYGACAAGTTAGATAAACAGGAAGCAAAATAACTGTGTCACTGACAAAAACACACTTTATCAGGACATGATACTAAAACTGACAAAAAGCTTTCAAAATAACAAAAACCTTACTCTGTTTTTTATTTCTACCACAAGATGGTGCGGCTGCTCCATCTAACAGCAGACAATGCTTTTTAAAGTAAGAATATTGTAACATTTTAAAGGAAAAGTTTGAAAAACAAAAAAACTGAAAGTACACCTTTGCATATAGTTTAATACTAATCAGTCATAACATTATGACCTTCATTCCTAATACTAAATAGGTCTTTTACATACATGAAAAAACATTTGTTGGTTAAAAAGGTTGTCCTGGTAGATCTATTAAAGAGATTAAAGAAGACTAATAATGGCACTATAAGTGAGTGCCCCAGTCTAACTAAAGATACATATTTTTCTCAGTAGAGCTTTTAAATGTGATTTAAAAAAAAGTTTTCCTCAGTTACTGTTCAGTAAACATTTTGGCTGAATGGTGTGATTCTTTATTTAGTTTAACAAAAGTTTAATTTAGGCATGTTTTTAGATCACAACTGTTTAAAAATGTATTGATTTCTAGTAGGAAATTGACTCTGACTTCCCAAACTGCTTACTGTTTTGCAGTGGAAAAGAAAAGGTCAACATATGATGACTTTAGAATAAAAAACAAGCTAAGAATTGTATTTGTAACTTTTTTCTTTTATTGTATTTCAATTTTATTGTTCATGAAATATGAATCTCAAATTCAAATTTTTTTCACACTGTTGCTTTAAGTCTGAAAGGAGAACTGAACAAACATCAGGAGTCTCACAAATCAGAGAAAGATATTGAGTTGATTGGCTGCACACTGCTTTAGAGTCGTGGACAGACAGAAAGACATGTGTCCTCGTGGTGTGGGACCCTGGACATCTGCTCTTGATTGACGCACAATGAYTGTCCAGTGACCTGTTTTCATAAAGGCGCGTTATCGTGTCACTTCAAGTCATGTCAYATAAACCTGTAGATGCTCTCAACACTCATTTCCCAAGTTCAACAGTGGTTTTATKTCACCTTATAAGGAAATAGATTGTTTATCATTGTTCATGAGACAACACAAATAACTCAAAAACACTGATTGCTAATTCCCCCCACTATTCTCTTTAACTTTTTAAAGGCTAACACAAACAGACAATAAATCCATCATCATAGCAGTGATATACTGTATATTGGATATTATCAGCTCTTATGTTTTATGAATGGAAAATATAAACATTCAAAACTCTTAATCACAGGGAATATTTTCTTTTATTTTACGAGCATAAAATCCTTCATAAAATTGTTTTTTTTTTACAGCAAGAAGGTTGCAGGATATGGTATAACAAAGATAAAGAACTGAATTGGAGTCAACAGGAGGATCAGATAGAAACTGGGCAGAGCAACTAAGGATTTTATTCTCTAAAACAACTTATTAATGAGTAAGCACAACAATACACATGGCACACAAAAAGCTGGAAASAAGGACAAAACCAACATAAGAACAGAACCTAACTCAGTCCTTCCTGTGGGCCCACCACCTGCAGGGGGGCCGTACCAGTTGAAGGTGGGGACCTTGAGCTGTAAGGCAAAGCTCTCTGTTCACAGATCAGTCTGTATTCCTCACCTATGATCACAAACTTTGGGTAGTGACTGAAAAAAACAAGACTGCGRATATAAGTGGTCRAAATGAGTTTTCTCCGCTGGGTAGCTGGACTCTCCCTTTGAGATGCTCAGTTATCYGGGAGAGACTCAGAGTAGAGTCGCTGCTCCTCCACATCGAAAGGAGCCAGTTGAGGTGGTTTGGGCATCTAGTAAGGATGCCTCCGGGACGCCTCCCTATAGGGAGGTGCTTCAGGCATGTCCAACAGGGAGGAGACTTTGAGGCAGACCCAGGACACGCTGGGGAGACTATGTCTCTCGGCTGGCCTGGGAACACCTTGGAGTCCTCCCAGAAGAGCTGGAAGAGGTGGCTGGGGAAAGAGAGGTCTGGGATTCCCTGCTCAAGCTGCTGCCCCCGCGACCCGACTTTGGATGAAGTGGAAGATAATGGATGGATGGTAACTCAGTCCAACTGGAAATTTGTAACAAAACACAATAAAAATAATGTAATTAAAATAAGCAACACAAAGATCCAAACCATGACGTTTTGGTGATTGTAAGGTGTGTGTGAGAGGAAGGATGCTTCACTTTGTGTATTAAAGAAAATTTCCTCTCAGCGTAACACCACAGCCCCCCACCCTCCACCCCCTTCCTCTTYCTCAGACAGCCCTACTTTCTCTCCGAGGCTGATGTTTCCATTACAGAAATAAAAGCATGACGCTTAATCCAGTTACTTGTTCCCTGGACAACACACACACCCACACACACACACACGGACATGCACACACACTCGAATGCATATTCGAATAAAAAAAAAGAACAAAAAAACAATCACACAGCCACCCACAAGAACTAATGTGCATGCACAAACCTGGTTACAAMAACAAGTAATTACACACACACATAGACAAATCCGAACACACAGACATGACCGCACACACACAACTATCAAACACATACACGCACAAGGGGGCATTCAGCTGAAGTGAGACCTCATGTTGCGAAAAAAGTCAAACACAGCTTTTTTTTTTCKTTTTTGGAGTTCTGGAAATAAACACACACAAACACAACCACACACACACAAAACTGTAATCTCCCAAGACAATTCCCCACAGCTCCGTACATCCTTCCTGCAGTGCGACAACAGAGGGTGCCACAAGGCAAAATAATAAAAACTGTAAGAATATTTCTAGGTATTGTGATCTTTCCCACATTCTCCCCTGATAATTCACCTTGTCTGTGCTTTAATTTAAGATTTTGGATGCATTAGAAACAAATCTCACCATKAACACACAATAAACCTATTTGGAGGGACGTGTTAAAGCTGGTCAGAGACGCAGATTCCAGGAAAAAGACAAGCAGAAGCTACTTTCATCTGATGCAGGGACAACAGTCTGCAAAACTGCATTCTTGGCCTTGCACATTATTTTTGAAAAGTCAGAACATCAGTACAGGTGAATATTGCTGAAATTTTACATTTAAAAGTAGGTATTTATACCATCACTGTCGCTTCTCACCATCTTATAAAGTTTTTT